GATTGTTAACAGAAAAAAAAAAAAAAAGAAAAACGACGGAAACCCAATGCGGTATTTCATATACAATATATCGTGATCGTTGATTTTTGCCTTCCCGAGTTCGTTGATAAGGTGGGTTCGTTCTACCAGTTCCGTCAGTCAACGATCAAAGTCGGCAATCTTTTTTAAACAATATACTTATCATAATACGGAAATTCCGTATCTGCACTGGTAACACCCATTTGTGTAATTTAAGGAATTCGAAGTTAGGGAGTTGGCGAGCTGCAGTGGCTTACCTAATTTAACAAGAATGCGTATTAGAAAGGGCTATTCGAATTTAAGAAGTTCGCCCGTGTACGAATTCCGCCGATATACAAATTTGGATTGTGTTTTTCGGATCTCCAAACGAAACGACCTATTGTCAATTCTCGAATTGTATGCATTTGCATAAATTACAATTTTCTCACGACTCCTGGTTTTTTTTTACTATTCGCAGATGGCATGCCACATCATTATGTGCATATCACGCATTAATGTACTTTGTGTACAATATAGTACGCAAAAACCTTCTTTTTTCGAACCTCTTCGACAACCAACAGTAATAATAAAGATGACATCCATGTATACAGTAAGTCCTTCGTCATGGCTTTGGGCGATATTGAATTATTTGAAGATTGACACACTGGACTCGTTTCTCACCTTTTAATTAGATCAACTATGCGTTAAGAGCGCATAAACGAGATCCATTTATAGAGTTTATCAAGGTAGGTTGGTTCACGGCGAAAAGATGTGGAAGAGATGCTGATGCGTTATGAAAATATAGGGAATGCTTATGACACCGTTCGTCCTTCACGTAAGACCGATACTGCCGAAGGATGATCCTACGGAGAAAGAACTTAATGGCGATGATAAATCCCAGGTGGACGAAAACGTTGCAAGATATTGTGACATCTTGTCGAGCATCGAAGAATTGATTGACGTACGTGTCCCCTTCGCCATTACAAATCTACAAGATCGAACGCTCAACGTTCCTAACATATATTTATATTTATATCTAGGAACACATCAGAAAACAAGCCAAAGGTATGGATTGATCTAATTGCCAATTTACAACGGTTATTTACCAATCATCTTTTACATCAATTCTAGTTCATGAATCGATCCTATATTCATATTGATTAAAAAGGTGTCCCGGACCAGTCTCGGCTTAAACGACTTGTTCCGTCCGTTTCAACTTTTCACACGAGCCTACCACTACGCGAGTCATTTTTGCTGGCAAATTCCAAACATTCGATTGCAGCTCGTCGATTTGTACCTCCGAGCTTTAATGACATTAGAAGGTATGTTGGCTGTTTCCCTTGCATTCAGACGGAGCATATTTTATTTAAATATTCACATCGGGCTCTCATTATTTCCTCAGGATTTTAAACACGGCGCAGGTAATGTTTGCGATTGATTTGGGCGATTCTTGTGGTTTTGGATTGCCTTAATTGTGATGACTTCTTGACTTTTTTTTTTTAGATCATCGCAGTCGCGCCTAAACTCAAATTGATCACGTTGTAAGTTCCAATATGTTCGCGTGCTTGTGATAGATAACCTTTTACGGTTGTTGATTTAACGAGGTTTATGCAATCAACTCGTTAGCGATGGTGATATGACCCTCTACGATGATGGAAAGGATTTCGAGCAGGACTCCGCTTCTGTAGAGCTTCTTGTACAACTGTTGAAATATGATCTTACCGTTTGTGTGGTAACGGCTGCTGGTTATCCGGGAGATGCCGAGCGATATGAAAAACGACTATCAGGTTTATTGAAAGGATTCCAGACTGCTCAATTGCCTAAAAAATTTTGCGAACGTTTCTTCTTGTTAGGTTATTTGAATCATTCAATCATTTTTAAAAAGTTGATGATGTACCACCACCGCAAAGATGATTCCCTGAAAAGTTAACCTTTGCACTACCATTTATAGGCGGTGAATGCAACTATTTGTTTCAATGTCAAGAAGACTATCATCTGAAATATATACATGAATCGTAAGTCCATTTATTCCCTTCAAACCTCAATGGTGACACGGTCGATTTCCCTGATCAAAATCCATCACTTCTATAGTGAGTATCAGCCAGAGGATATTCGCTCTTGGCGCGAGGATCAGATCAAAGCCATATTGGATGTGGCCCAAGAAAATTTGCAGCGATGCGTTAATGACATGAAATTGCCTTGCAGTGTTCTGCGCAAAAGTAGAGCAGTTGGTAAGTTAGATTGATATTTTTGTCAGAGACATAAATTGTGCTGAGGCCATTCCTTTCTTAGGCATTGTTCCAAAGCCAAACATAAAGATTTTTCGGGAACAGCTGGTGAGTGGTAAAAAATCGATGGATAAGGATATTAGACATTAACTGTTGTGCCTGACCATTTAAAGGATGAATGCGTTCTATCCACTCAACACCGTTTGGTTAATTATCTTCAATCCCCTTCCGGAAAACAACATGCCTTACCGTTCTGTGCTTTCAACGGAGGGCACGATGTTTGGGTAGATATGTATGTACCAGTACTATTTATTGTTCACTGACATAAAGAACGTTTCCTCAAAAAAAAACAAAAAAAAAGAAAAACATTGATGATGACACATGCATTGTGTAGTGGAAACAAACTCATAGGCGTTCAGATCCTGCAGAATTTTCTTGGGGCTACGCCCTCCGAGACTTTGCATGTGGGGGATCAGGTAAATGAGTTGGTCGATGAAGAAGTTAAAAGCCAATAGAATACGTGCGTTAAAAGTAATGCGCGCTAATTATTCTAATTATTCTAATCCATCAAGTTCCTGTCCACGGGAAATGACTTTGCGACCCGGCATCAATGTTGCACCCTTTGGATCGTCAACCCCGAAGAAACGCATGACGTATTGATAGAACTGGTCTCGTTACTCAGCCAGAACAACACTTAGCGGAGTCCATTTTAATTTATGTCACATTGATTGTAAAAATTACACCATAAGCATCGCGACATGCGATATCATAGAGTTTTTTTTTTTTTTTTTTTTTTTTTCAATATCTTATCGTGAATATATTTAATAATTATATATATAATTTTTATTCTTTTCTTTTTTTTTTTTCTTTACGCCTTGAATTCAAAACTGATCTATGGCTAGTGAGCGGGTTTTCAAGGAATGACCTCTTACCAGCGTAGGAATATCACACCTAAATATTATAACGAGTCGAGTCTCATATGAGTTGTTGTTGTTTTTTTTTAATACACTCGGTTATACAGTATATTAGGGAAAATATAATGTGTATCCTAATTTTATTCATGCACGCTGGTTCTTCCCCTGACAACAGCTTCTGCGTAACTAGGCAATTGTTCGTCATTTGGATCTTCTGATCCAAACGTACTGTCATCCTCTAATTCTCGCATATTACTCGTATCCCCTATTTTACCTCCTCCCCTTCTAAGCCACCACAATATCACCATGCTTAAAACAAACACCAATCCTATCGAACTCAATATAACCGTTGTCAGTACAACGGTCTGTGATGTACCGCCTCCGTTTACGCTTGCGTCCTGTTCTTGCCCGGGAAAGACTGTTGCTATCTGTGTGTAGGTGACCGATGAAATATAGGTGGCTTGTGAAATATAGGTGGTTTGTGAAATATAGGTGGTTTCTGAAATATAGGTAGTTGGATAATAAGATGTTATGACCATTATGCTATCTGTTCCCGATGTGGGTGGTGGGTCGGCGTCGGTGAAGTCTGCGATGCCATTTGAATTTGAACTCGAAGGAGGTGAAGTTGAAGAAGTTCCTGAATCGGTCATTTAAAAAGACTTTCGTTTTGCAGTTAGTAGATATTGCTGCAGTGACGCAGTTAAAGAGAGGAAGGAAGTTGAAAACAGAACTTCAATGTAAACGCAAAAGAAACGGTGGATGATAAATTTTTATTCAGGAATGAAATAATTTGCTCATGAACAAAAACACCATCATATTACAGTATACGACCGATCGATCGTGTTTTATTTATGCATGACATGTCCAAGTGTCTAATGGTTTTGATATGAGAGCAATTAAACGGATTGGTAATTCATTAACGTTAACCGTACTAGTCTTACCCGATCCTCCCGGTTATATGCGCCCCTTTTGGGGGGCTAATAATCAAAAAGAAACGATTTTTGTATAATGCCGAATGAAACATCTAGAATTTGGTATGAGAATTCGAATGATGACCCGGGAACAATCAAAAATTCAATTTAAAAATATTTGATTTTTTACAATTTCCACACTCACTTTACATTACATTCGTCCTCTTTTATTTTTTGTTGAAAGTTCACAGGAATTAATCTTTTTAATTTCCTTTTTTTTGAAGAAGACCTTATCACGTGAGACGCAACTTGAAAATCGTAAACCGTTATTTTAAAAATAAAATGTTTTTTTTTTTTGTAATAGGATATCTAATAAACATTAATGGTTTTTTTATTGTTACTCTACACACTTTTTTTTTTTTAAAGAAAAAATCAAATCAAATCTAGGAAATTTCTTCTAAACAGGATTAGTCAAATGGCTGTATGTCAAGAGTATCGATCGCTATTTATGTGGAGTGTAAACATGTATTTATTTATATTATACACAATTGGTATTAAGATGCCAACCCATAAAACCCAAATTTATTATTATACCTTCAAATGATTAAGTGTTTTTTTGTTTGTTTGTTTGTTTGTTTTTTTTTTCTTCGAATCATATTTTCTTAGATGGTGCTAGGTTTGTTTATTCCCCTTGCTACGAAAAAGTTATCAATTAACGGAATTAATTGTTGAGCAACAGTGAACGAAAACACTAGCTTCGGCCCAACAACGACTAATTTCGGCGTAACGCCCTTGAAGAAAGATGAGAATCCTACATAATATAAAAATTGCATAAATATCGTATCTAATGCCCTTTTTATCAATGCTATTCAACATACCTTCTATTCTAACCATCTTACGAATGATTTGCAATCCGCCCTCGGGCGACTCGAACGGTCTGTTTTGAATGCGAGTTTTGACGATATCAAGTGGTTGAGCTACGGTGATTGAAGCTATGGCCCCGCCAACTGACGCGCAAAAGTTTTGTAAGAAGGTGGCCTTGGAATAATCGCTGAGGCCAAAAACATACTCCTTAACAAAAGCCGAACCACCAAACTAAAAAAAAAAAAAGTTTGGATTATTAGGAAATAGTCAAAAGAAATAGCATTTATTAAAAAATGTATTGATCGAAAAATAATCACCAATGCAAAACTGCCTGGCGCATTACGCGCAGCCGTCCAAAGGCCTCCCCTATTTAGAAGTATTTGGAAAAAGTTGGTTAGTTTATGCAAAATAATGATAATGCAAATGGACGAGGACAATTACCTGTAAAGTCCAAATCCTTCGTCATAGACAATTCGGAAAATATTTCGCCCCCTTAGAGTTTCCGGATTCGTTTGACGTTTAATCTTTAGGACATCTAACGGGAGAAGCGCCACCTCTCCAACTCCAATCAAACTGCAGAAATTTCACAGTTTAGACCAGTTATGCAAAAATTGGAACCACCACATACAAATTCATAACTCTAATTACCTGCCAGCTGTAGCATGTATCATGGTTTTCCCACTCTTCTCACCAAATATTTTATAAAAAGCATCCTTGTGATGAACGGTCAGATAATCCTTTACATATGGTTGGCCTCCGTATTTATATATGCGTTGAAGAACTTTATAACCTCCAGCATATCCCAACCCCGGAAATAGTGAAGCATACTTTCGTATCACAGACGAGGTATACGCATCCTATATAATTCGTTTAATCAGTAAATCTAATTCGATATTCGAAATCATGTTCGCGCGTTTCGTAATTTTTTTTTTTTTTTATGCAAACCTTGAATATAACTTTATCGAGATTACTAAATCCTTGGGATATTGGTGCACCGGGAACAAAAACCTATAAATATGTAAAAATTCTGAATAATTCTGAGTACAAACGTTTACCGAAAAGGAAGAAACCCTCGGAAAATGTAATCTCTCTCACTTTTGTCGGATTGGTCATTAAACGTTTCGCTACCGTATCAACAGGGTGAAATATGAATAGTTCAAGTAACCCTGAGGTCCCTGAACCTATTAGACGAGCAAGGCCAGACTCTTTTTTTCCAGAAGTTGGTGGAGACATTGATTGATTGATATTTTCTAATGGACAAGAAGGAATTTAAGACTCGTATGATAAATGCAATATATTTATATCAGTAAAACATCTTTAGATGTAGACTTTTAATTGGTCGAGATTTGATTGATCAAACCGCATGTGAAACTAGATTTGATGGCTTGAATCTTAATCTTTGATTGATAATTCTCACTCCTTATTTGGCATTCGCCCTAATTATTTGTACGCGCGTAAAGATTCAATTTTTCAAAAAACGATATTCTTCGATGCTCGTATGATATTTGTTAATCTGTTTAGGTAAAAGAATTTATATATACTGTATACATAGAACCTGCTTTGCGCAATTGTATTACCATTATAACATTTTAAGGAAATCCGGTCTTTAAACTAGTTACTCTACAATTAATATGCGCAGTCATAGTAACGATAAGTATATTGATCATATTATTTTAAAACGTCATTTTATACTATAAGTATATTTAAAACCTTGTCTATTTACTTCCGACAAAGTCCTTTTCTTTTTCTTTCAAAAAAAGAAGAATAATAATAATTAAGACATAAACTTTTCATTTAAAAAATGCAATTTGATCTTTTGCAAATTTTAAAAATTTATACATATCATGGTAAGAATTATATGTTTAAAATATGAAAAAAATTTTTTGATTTTAAAATTGCATTAAAAGAATGAGCGCGATAATATTACATCATTCAATATTCGAGTAAATATCTTTCAGTAATCTTTTTTTTTTTTTGGATATGCTAAATAATTATATTTTTTTTGAATATTAAATATTAATTCTTAGTTACTAATTCTTGATTATCAATCCTTAATTATTGATCTTTGTCATTTAATTAATCAATTAATAATCTCTTCAATCTTTTTCTTATTTTTGTTATATATGATGTTACTTTACAATTATTTAATAATAAACCAAATCAATAATTACATGTTTATTTTTCAAATAATTCATACTGTATATTAAAAAAAAAAAAAAAATTTTTTTAATACGGTTGCTTCCAAAAGTTTGAATTCACTTACTATGTTTTTATTATAAATTTCAGTTTTGACAATTTTTAAATTATTAACTATGCAGTCAAAAATTATAAAAATTATATATATTGTATCTT